ATGACAAAGAGGAAGGGTGTCAAGGGATCCCCTTGACGAACTGATCTTTCTAAAGGGATGGGGGAGGGCACATTGTTGTTGACCATCACCCTTGTGGTGGCATTTTGGTGTAAGATTGTCACCCATCTTCTAAAATTAGGACAAAAATTCATCCTTTCTAAGCATTTGTCCAGGAAAAGTCAATCTACATGGTCATAAGCCTTTTCAAAATCTATGAAGATGAATGTTGCATTGTGTTTAGACTGGCGAGATATTTTAAGAAGTTCGTTTACTAGAAGGATATTATCCTGAATGTTTCTGCCAGTTATAAATCCTGTTTGAGATGGGTGAATAATTTCTGGAATTATTTTAGACATTCGATCTGCTAGTGTTTTAGCTATTAGTTTATACACCACTGTAAGAAGAGTTATTGGGCGATAGTTTCTTATATTAGTTTTATCTCCTTTCTTATATAGAAGGGTAAGAACTCCCTGGCCAACAAATTCTCCCATCTCTCCTGATTCCCAAACTGCTTGGTAATAATCCATTAGATCCTGAGATATAAAATCCCATGTTGATTCCCAAAATTCCTTTGGGAGACCATCGATGCCTGGGGATTTATCTTCATCCATTAGTAAGAGAGACTTTCATACTTCATCCTTCACAAAAGGTTTTTCCATCATTTTTTTTTTTTTCCGTTTGTTAAAGTTTTATTTAAAGGTTGAAGGAACTCTTCCATTTCCGTGATCCGATGCTCTTTAGGATTATGTCTATTTTGTGAAGTAAAAAGTGATTTGAAAAAATCTTTGGCAACTTTAGAGCATGTTGCAGACGAGGTGACAAGGTTCTTATTGGGGTCTGACGGGTCTTCTAACGCCTCAATATTAGTTCTTCCTGTTCTGGCTTTAGCCATGGCAAAAAAACGAGCATCCATTGAACCTTCCATATTTTGAATTTTGAGTTTACCCCTTATTCTTAATCTTTGCCATCTATATTCCATTTGAGTCAAAAACTGGTTTTCCAGACAGTGGAGTTCTTCGGCTATTGTTTTTAGGACTTCTTGCTCTTCATATATTATCTCTTTATTTTGCAATTCACGAATTCTGTTATGTAGGTTGGTTTCTTTCGTATGTCTTTGTTTTGCCATTAGTCTAGAATATTCATTGCAAGATCATTGTTGAACCATTTAATGTCATCTCTAAGGAGATCCCTCTGATCTCTCCAAAAATTCCAAATATCTCGAAGATAGTTGAGAAAGCAGTCCATCTTGAGATGGGAGGTATTGAGGTGATAAAAACTTTTGACTTGATCTGGTTTCTTCCTGAAGGACATGATTGCCACACACATTGCATGATCCAGACCAGGGAATGGGTTTTTCGGAAAGATTTCTGCCAGTTGGAGAGCTCCTTGCAATTCTTCTGCAACTAGGATCAGATCAATACGTGATTTTGAATTATGATTAGTAGTGTCTTTTCTGAAACACGAGAAGATTCTGGTCTTTGGGTTTAACCTTCTATAAGAATCAAACAGATTAAGAGATTGACATAAGTTTGTAATTATTGTTTCGTCCCTTGTCATGTATGGTGGGCACTGGGAGGGGGGGCGGCACCTGTCTAGTTGGTGATCTGGGGCAGCATTGAAGTCCCCAGCTATGATTAGTGGAATACCTGTTGGTAGACGTGGAAGAATATTATCAAAAAAATTATCCCTTTCCCTTACCTCATTAGGACCATACACACATAGAATTCCCACAATCTCTATTTCTAACATTGCTAATACATATACCCACCTACCTTGTTCCAGGTCAGTTACTGAGTAAACTACCTGTGCTCTGGATTGGGGAGGAATCCAAATAGCTACTCCAGAGCTCCCTGGGTGATAGCATGAGCTCTATAGGATTGGTGAGACCATATCTGCTTGTGTAGATAGTTATGCATCTCTGAGTTCAACAGATGAGTTTCCTGGATGCATATTACATCTGGCCATTCTTTTCCATCAATTCCTTTTAATTGTTCAAAAATCACTTGTTTTTTGCTAGATTTGGCAGAGGCCAGACCGTTCACATTCAGGGATCTCAGGTCTAAATCTGCTTGCCGCCTCATCAATTTCCATTGTTTGTCCTTATTGTATAAAGCATCAATAATTTTAATTCCTTCCATTATTTCAATAAGGATACTAAGCGACCAGTTGGACAGCACTAGATCTTTTGTGTGGGGTACCCTCTAGAGGTTCTTCCATTGGCCTATATCCAGTACTCCTCCCTTTTCCATAATACCGTGCTTCAACACTCTGGCGAGGAGAATCCCCACATCCTCCTCTGACCAGAACAGACTAGACTTGATTTTGAGGATTTGGATGTCCTTGAGTGGTTCCTGTCCAAACCATCTCAGTTCCTCTTGTTTCACCCCTTCATACTTAATATATACGTCCCTTTCTGCTATCCTTTGTTCTCCAGTTGAAAGTGAAAGAATAGCTAAAACCCCTGGCGGGAAATTTTCCTTTATAAATTTAAGTATTTCCAATTTAATCCAGGATTCTCCCGCTATACCCCCAGTAAGAGACACAAGGGACAGAAATTGCGGCTTAATTCCTTGCACTGTTACTTCCCCATGTGCAGTTCCTTGTGGTTCTGATAAACCAACTTGCCAAATTCCCCCTTTGCACCTGACTGGCAAGATGACTACTCCTGATTTCGATGGTGGAAGGTCCCCCTGACCTTGAACCATTCGTTGTTTGAGTTTCTGTCTCTTGCTAGTTATGGACAGTTCCATTAATCTTGACTCTTGTTCCTCCCCTTCCTTGAGTCCCTTTCTTCCCTCCTCTCTCCTTTGTGTCACGATCTGCAAAGTTTCTCCCTTGTCTGGAACCCGAAGAGGTTCTTTTGTGGGTTGCCCTGACAGAAGTAGGAATTTTCTTTCCCCTGTTATTTCAGATACTATTTCTTTTACGCCTTGTGTTGCATTTATATATCCTTGAGAAGGTAGCCTTGGGGGGTTGTCTTCCTCATATAGTAAGCTTTCAGTGTCCCTTTCCAAGGACTGTGTCTTACTCCCTTGCCCTCTTTCTAAACTTACCTTTCCACTTGTATCTGTTTCTGGGGTCAAGACTCTTGTTGTTTGTTGAAAGAGTAATGTGCCCGATGTTGCTGGAACCAGATTGCTTCCAGCAGTTTGCAGAACCACCCCTGAGGGGCTGAGGAAAAGTACCTCTTTCTATGATGTTACTGCCTCTAAGTTCAGTGGAACTGCAGAATGTGCAAGGTTCTTTTGAAGCTCCCTCGGAAGCACAGTGTCAACCATGCATGGCTGTGCCTCTTCTGATGGGTTGTCTGATACTGAATCTTTTTGAGAGCTCTGAACAGTTTCAACCATGGCTGACTGTGCTTCTTCTGTTGAGTTGTTTACAATCAGACAGTTTTGGTGATATATGGAAATGCTCTGATCCGGGTCACCAACCCCCATTTCTGATGTTGAATTTAGTTGAGAGCTTCTTCACACAGTCTAGCTTCTTCTTCTTCTTCTTCTTCTTCTTCTTTTTTTTTTTTTTTTTTTTTTTTTTTTTTTTTTTTTTTTTTACACGCTCCATCTATTGGTGGGTAGCCGCAGCTGCTGGAAAACGGGTCCAGCGTCCCATGTGAACATCATAAAAATTTGATAAGAAAAAGGAGAATGTTGACATTTGCTTTGTCTTGGGGCTAGAAGCAGAAGGAAAATTCCAAGTTTACCTAGAAGTTCAATCGTAACCAAACCAGGAGCTTGGGACTATCGACATCGGGGAGGGGAAAACGGATCTGGAAAATCTGCAACCGAGCGCGGGGGAATAGAAAAGTCAACCACTGTCCAGTCTTAAAAAAGCAGCTGCCACGGTGACTTACTTCACGGGCGAGGACTCTGGTTCAAATCCAGGATAGCCTTCATTGTCCGCACCCTTAGCACCCTCCCACTGAACATTACCCAACTTCTCCCGCTGGTTTCCACCGAGCCAGCTGTAACTGAATTTTTTGATATGTGTGAGAATTTCAGATTTAGAAGATAGATGTTGTATCTTTCCTTTTGTTTGTTCCCACTAAGACAAGATCTCTGTTTGAATCTGATGTTTAATGGTTTCAGTGAATTCTGGGCCATCTAATCTGGCTCCCTCCATTTCAAAGGTACATCTCCTTAACCATGAGACTCCACCGGTGCCCCCCGGTGGGTCACCCCCCAACACCCGACCCTGATGCAGGCTAGGGATGGAAGAGTAGAGTGGATAAGGGACGCTGGACCCGGTTTCCAGCATTTTGGCGTCACCTCATTGATGTACTGTGTAGCAAATATGTATTTTTGGGACGCTGGACCCAGTTTCCAGCAGGTGTTGCTCCCCACCAATAGATGGAGCGGCCCGCTAGGCAAAGCCTCAATCCCGGTGGTTCTCTTACCACCACCAGGATAGAGGTCTTGCACAAGGGCCTTCAAAAAAAAAAAATAAAAAAAAATACATATAGCCCACATGACCGCCCTCCCCCCAATGAAGAAGAGATTTGGTGTGAAGTTATGGTTCTGGCACCCAGGATTCTAGTAGTATGGGTTTCCATCCCCAGGGCCATGGAGTGGATGCCCCTAGTTGACTCCATATATGGTCCCACCATCTCCAAAGCCATATTGTTCCAGGACATTGCATAAACACATGCTCTATGGTTTCAGCCTTTCAGGGATCACCCTACTCGAAAAAGCAGATTTACAGAATTTACACCATCGTGAGGCTATTCCCTTCTGCGCTAGGGACACAGTCTAGCTGTTCATTGCTATCTCATTTCGGTTTGTTATCATTCAATTTGAGCCTCACGAGCTCATGGGTGTTTTGATTGTGAGCTTCTGAAGTCGGGTTCATCACACAACAGCGTGTTATGTTTATCTGCTCTCTCTCTCTCTCTCTCTCTCTCTCTCTCTCTCTCTCTCTCTCTCTCTCTCTCTCTCTCTCTCTTGCGCGCGCGCGCGCGCGCACGCGCGCTCTGTTTGTTTCTGTTTTTAACTCTCACTCAGGCTCTGCATGGAGAAATCGGCTAACGCGTCCAATAGAGGTCAAGATTCCAAACCGAAAGGGGGTTTCGAAAACAATCAAGGCACTGAACAAGGTAAGAAATCATGACCAGGTACATCCTGTCAAAACTGGCCATTTTTCTCCTTTCTTCTTTCCGTTTCTTCTCTCTGAACAAAAGTGTTTAACCAAATACTAAAAAAAAAATTAAAAAACGTTGGGGGATATATTTGTGGGCGGGTGGATCTACCACCCCCACCAAAACGCTCCCCGGGCGCCTACCTAGGGGGGTCACCCAGTCGGGTGCACGACGGCCTCAGCGCCCAGGTTCGATAGGGCGCTTTCACACCCGGTATGTGGGCTGGTGGTCCTGCGCATCACCAGGCACCTTCGGAAAATGATGATGACGATGATCGCGATGATGGAACAATGAACATGATAATGATGATCATTGCCGTGATGATGATGAAGATTCCTCCATTGTGCTGTTCCTTGTTGTGGTAGAGTAATGAATGCCGTCGCCACTCTCATCGGCATTGAAATTGTGATGGAAATATACAGTTTGTTAAACCACCAGTACGTTTCCCAGCAATTTTTTTCTCTGACATGCATGCGCTCCGCAACTTTTGGGGGTTGGCTGCTGGAGCAAAATGGCTGGCGGCACCAGCCAAATGGAGGCCCGTGCTGGTTCCTTTTTTTGGGGGGCACACCAGGCGTTTCGAGCCTCAGGAAAAAAGAGGCTTGGAAGTAAAGGTGGTTTAGAGCAGGCATACATATACATCGTGGCCTGGTGTTATTTATTTATTTATTTATTTATTTATTTATTTTATTATTTTTTTTTGCAGCCAACTACACCTGTAGCCACAAAAGAGTTCCTAATAGGCAAAAAAAAAAAAAACACTGGCAGGTCACTCACGGGGCAAGTTTGAGAAGGCAATAAAAGAGCTGCAAAGGCAGTTTCTTTTTTTTTTTTTTTTTTTTTTTTTTTTGAAAACTAAGATGCCTGCAAAGGCAGTTTCTAATAAGCGCAGATATCATAACTACAGGGGTGGGCCGGGGCGAGCATAGGGCCTGAGTTAAAGAATGACAAAGAAAACCCCTCTACTTTTGCTTTTTTTGTGCATTCCAAACTGCCTCCCCAACAAAACTGCATTTAGTGTTTTTTTTGCCTATTCAAGACTCAAACCATGAACTGAGACGTAGTTGTTTCTTTTTTTCCTGGGCAGGGGGAGGGGGGGGGGGGCAGTGCGGAATGGAAGGCTTGCAGAACAAGCTGACAAACGCTGCGATTTGAGACATGAAAATGAAAAAAATGTCACAAATCAGGGAGGGGGGGGGAGGGGGGGGGGAGAAGGAATCCCTTGTTCGAGACATTTTTTCATTTGAGACAGATTCTGTTCATTCGATACGGGGTTTTGACAAGTCCAGAATTTCAAAAGAGAGGGGGGGAAATTCAAAAACATTGCTGAGATATAGATCCAAGAGTTAGAACTTAGAATAAATGAAGTTTAAAAAAAAAAAAAAAGAAGTTTAATGAACAGACGAGGGGCTGGACTGGCGCTCCCCTGAACAGACTAGGAGCATCACCAAGACCACCACACTGGGACTGCGACAGAGCTGGAACAAAGTTCACCAAACAAAGGAGTCTTGATGAGGGTTGACAACAGGTGGTAGGTGGTATTCCCCCCATCAGGAGGACCGAGTGGAGCGGTGGTCGAAACCGGTCGGGGTGCCATACCCACTGTTGTTCAATCATTCAAGTACTACATTTGTACTCCTTGTACATTTGTACTATTGTGATTTGCGATAACTCATCCATCTACTGGTTGTCTGTTCTTATCAGCACCACTAGCATAAACTCGGGCATTTGTTAAAAAAAAAAAAAAAAAAAAAAAAAAAGGTGTCTACTCACTGATTAGTGTGTTTACTCCATGTACGATGAATGAGTATCCATTTTCAGCGAACTTCGCCAGCAGCTGACTTTTTTGACTTTTTGTCTAGGCTACCACACGGGCCACCCGGGTCCTGGGTGGCCAGCCCGTCCAAGGACCAAAGAAGGTCCCAGCAAAAAAAAAAAGAACTCCAAGGACTCCCAAAAAAAACTATATGTTATGCAGAAAACTGAACTGAACAACTTTTGCCTCACTGTCACATGGAAACTCCTTACCAAATATAAAATAAAATAAAATAAAATAAAAAATATATATTTTAATTTTATTTAATTTTATTTATTTTGGCCCGGCCGGGCAAGTGACCCAGGGCCACTCTGGTAGCCTAGCTTTTTGTTGATTTTATTTTTTTATTTTTTATTTTTTGGTTGAATTTTTCCCCTCCAACCTCTTTTTTGTTCAATTGCTGAGGAAGTTCAAAAATGGGACGCGTGTGTGGGTACCGAACCGAAATGGGACGAGCATAATCAACGCTTGTCCCAATTGGGTCGAACAACTTGCCTGCCTCCTTGTTCCCTCCTCTCTTCACGCTTCAGGGCCTCGCTTTTGCTCTCTTTGCCTTTTTTTCACTAGTCTTAGTAGTCTAAGTAAACTTACCATTTTTTTTTATTTTTTATTTTTCACTAGTCTTAGTAGTCTAAGTAAACTTACCATTTTAATTTTTAATTTTTAATTTTTGGGGAATACCTAACCAAATTCCTATGTACCAAGTTACTTACAGTTTATTTTTTTGTGAGGTCAGCCTGTGGCATCCCCAAAGGACAAGTTCCAGGAGGCGGGGGACGCACGTGGCCACCTTGACAGTGAAGGTGCAGAAGATGGATTTTCAGAAGAAGCATTGCAGAATGGGGAGAGGTGGCAAATGGATGACCACCTCCCAGGATCTGCGGTCGCACATGCGGACGACAAAGCGTCCACCGCGAAGACGGAGACAGGAAAATGGTCATCCAGTGAAACAAGGACACAATCCTGGGAAGATGAGATGTATGGAACTGGGCGATCACCACCCAACGCATTGACGTCAACAGAGCAAGGGACGAACTCGACACATGGAACAGCCTCATTACAAGGGCAGGACGCCACAAACAGTGAAGACGAGTCGGCGCCGACAGGATCAGATCTGTCTTGAGCAACAGACATCATTGGGAAATATTTACAGCATGCTGGGATGGAGAAGAAATTGATATTAGTATCGGTGCCAGAGACACACAGATCTTTCATGACCCATCGATCGCACCCGACATGAAATCAAACAGTCGGAGAAGAAATTGATTGATTCTATCAGAGACCACGTTCGCCCTATAGAATCGCCACCTGGAACACAGAATGATCTGCTGCGATGGCGTCTGCTGAATCGCACACAGGTACCAGTTCCCGGTTCCGGTCCCAGTCTTGGTCCTGGTCCTGGTCCTGCTCCCACTCCTGGTTTTGGTCCTGATCCTGATCTCAGTGCTGCTTAATTCACGCCTGGGAACGCCATGGAACGGAATGACCTGCTGCGAGGACGTCTGCTCAGCACCACACACAGGTATAGGTCTGGTCTTGGTGCTCCCGGTAGCAGTCCCCATGTGGTCTTGGTACTGCTCTTACTCCCGGTCCTGTTTACGTCATGCCGGGAAGCGCCGTTGAATTGAATTGAACAACTGGCTGCGATGACGTCTGCTGAGCACCATGCACACGTTTCGGTTTCTGAAGCAGACGACAATCAATTACGTCTACTGCACCACACACAGCTCCTGGTCCCACCCAGTCTTGGTCCTCTTCTTGGTCCTGGTCTTGGCCCGCATCCTGGTCCCGGTATTGTCTCCGCTCCCTGGTCCCATCCTGCTGACATCATCGCTGGCTTGATCGCACAAAAAAAAGTTTTGTCATCAGGCAAGCAAGCCACTTTCCAAGAGCGCAATGACCTGGTCCTGGAAAGACTGGAGATGTCAATGGTTCCAGGAACAGGAAATGGTCCAGGTTCTCTCATTGATGTCCACGTTCTCAGTGATTAGCTAGTTGGCCGGCATCCCGAACTGTGAGACGTCAGGCAACCGAGCGACTTTCCAAGAGCGCAATGACCTTGTCCTGGAAATGGCTTGGCTTCTGAAGGAGGACTGGAGATGTCAATGGTTCCAGGAAATGGTCCAGGTTCCAAGAAATGGTCCAGGTTCTCGGTGATGTCCACGTTCTCAGTGATTTGTTAGGTTACTGGCGTTTGAAACCGTGAGACCCAGCAGTGGAAGGAGGAGGAGGAGGAGGAGCAGACAGACTGATCGATCCCACAGATTCACAACCTGGACTACATACAGGCCAGTCAAGTCCTGGACAATCTGATCTGGGGTTGGGACCAGGATCACAGACTGGTCCAGTCCTGGTCAGTTTGGACCAGTCTAGCCATGCCCTGTTCCAGTCCTGAATTACAAACTGGTCCACTCCTGGACTACAAATTGTGGGCCTCCCAACAGCAGCAGCAGCAGGGAGTGAACGTACGGTAAATGCTTTAACGGCATCATGAGTTGCCTCAGGCAACAGACCCATTCTGATGGTGAATTCTTCACGACACGACAGTGGTCTTATCCATAGCAGATATGGTCCCATGACGAAAGCCACCAGACGCGGCATCTAGACCCCTGCATCAAAAGTAGCAGTACCAAAACAAGAATGAAAAGGATGAGCACCAGGACCACCAGTAGTCAGCACCAGGACACGGCACCGGGATCAGAACTGGGACCAGAACCAGGACCAGAACCGAAGACCAGGACCACCATCGAATCCAGAAAGTGACAGGGGTCAGTACCAGGAAACCAGAGTCAGAACCAGCACCAGAACCAGAAGTCAGCACCAGGATCGGAACCAGGACCAACATCGGGACAAGTGCAAAACCCATCCCCAGAGCCTGAACCAGAACTTGAACCAGAACAAGTCCAAGTGGGGATCGTACCAGGACCACTTCCAGGACCAGTCCCAGGAGCCAGAGAGGGGGGACCATTACTACCACATTTGACCCCTTGGAGTCACCGCCCAGATTCATTAAATAAGATCGAAATTCTAGCAGGACCAAGACCAAGACCAGGACCAGGACCAGGACCAGGACCAGGACCACCGCCACGACCACGGCCACCACCACGACCACGACCAGGAACAGGAACAGGAACAGGAACAGGACCAGGACTACGACCACGACCAGGACCAGGACTGGAGTCAGGACCAGGACCAGGACCAGGACCAGGACCAGGACCAGGACATGGACATGGACACGGACAAGGACCGGAGTCAGGACCAGGACCAGGACCAGGATCAGGACCGGGGCCAGGACCAGGATCAGGACCGGGACCAGGACCGCGATCAGCAGGTGGGTAAGGCAAGCGGTTATGTTGTAATGAGGGGCATGGTGGGATAAGGGGGCCAGGCATGATGGAAGCAGGGCTGGAACCAGGAGCAGGACCCAGACTGGGACCAGGAGCAGGACCCAACTGGGACCAGGAGCAGGACCGGAACCAGGACCAGGACTAGGGCCAACAGGACCTGGAACAGTAGGGGATGGTGTCACAATTGCAGATACTCCGGGGCCATCTGATCTCTGTTCGGTCATTTGTGTACTCATAGGAGTTTGTATCTTGGTTAGCGTTTTTTTTTCCCCTGTTGGTACTGTTTGGTGGTACATCTGCAGTTGCCCCATGGTCTCCATCCATCCATGGCGTTGGGGTCGAGCTTGCATAGGGTGTATTGAACTGTATTCACACTGAAACTCCCCTGTATGCATGTATTAGGCCATCATTGATGCCAAATTCAGTCCAGAAAATCCTGATGTGAGTATATTTTAATGCCCGTAGACTTGCTGCCAGTGGAGGATTGTAGTACCCCCCACTCGTGCAAGCCAACAAGATCGTAATTATTAAATTATATGATTTAATAATTTAATTATGATTTATATCTGCCAAAAATTATTTCAGAGGAATGGATCCAAGATGGACCGAGTACAAGAGATGGCCCAACTACCCCCTAGCAGGCAACGTGGCACCTGTCTGTTGGATAGCAGATGGATAAGGCCATGGTAGGACTGTTTATAACTGAATTATGGGCGTAATTGTGGTCAAATGCATCCATGTCTGGCTGTGAATGCAGTAAAAAATAGAGCTAGTTTGACTATTGCCCTAGGAGATAGATAGGAGGGGTTAATGAGAGAGACAGATGAGAGATGATCTATGGGTGCCAGTTCGACGACCCCTATCCGTGTGTGTGAGCAGGAAGACCCCTATCCCTTTGGGGGGAGTCTGTAATGATTGGGCAAGAGGAACATGACTTGGTGGCTACAATGAGTCATTACGATTGAAATATATTATTTAGTAATAATTATTATTTTATTTATTATTTTAACTGTCATTATCTGGTATTCAAGACTCAATATTTCATTATTTCATATCAAGACTCAATATTTCATTATTTCATTTATTTTATTATTATTTCATCATTTTGTTATTTCATTATTTGAGCTCACATTTCATTTACATTCATTATTTCAAATTTATTTGACTTAATGTCACTATGGCATATGTGTGATGAGAGACTCAATCCAAATACCAACTGAGCTACCAAGCCTACCAGTAGCTCAGTTGGTACACCCCCCCTGGACTGTTGAAACTTGAAATACAGACCCGAGTTCGAATCCAGCTGCAATCGGATGAACAGAATAAAAAAAAGTCATTCTGAATTACCTGGGGCCTATCAGCTTCAATGATGATATCTCAGCGTCGTCTCCCCTTGTTCAGGAAAAAAGGAGAAAGAAGGAGAAGGTGACTCAATCCAAATTCGGTTCATAATGCAATTGAAATGAATGAAGTTTGGGGGGTGGGGGAGGAGGGGGGGAACAGTTCAAAAGAAAGTTAAAGAATCAAAACTTTTTAAAAAGAATATATATATGAGTGTGGAGTCTTTCATCTGCTAGTTAGCCTAATTAAAAATTTCTAGGCATTTATCTCTCTCTGAGATGTACGTACTACGTCGTACTTCAAATTTGAGATTCGATTTTTTTTCTTTTTCTTTTTCTTTTTCTTTCAGTTCCGAAAACAATTGAAAAATGGAGATGAGGACAAGAAATTCCTTGTGGGAAATATCTTTTGGTTTTGAAAAATTAGACGTGGGTGTTGGATTTAATCATTTTACGTTGGTCAAGTTTGCAATATACCCCCCAAAGGTGAGATATCATGATATGCCAAAATGCCCCTAAAAGATCCTGGTGGAGCACATGCCCTTCAGCACCAAGATCTTTGTGTCATACACTTGTCGGGCCTGTGTGAAAATTTGCATCCTGCCCCTCACCCTAGATGCCCGGGCGCTAAGGCGTTCTTACCCGGTTTGCCCCCCTACTGCATCTGCCACTTTATTGAATGCCCATGCCGATTCACTCAGCAAAGTGGCTGGCCGAGCCCTGCAATCGAAAACGACAAAAGCATCCCAAAGTTGGTCGCATGAGGGAATGGGCACGCTTTCGTGTGCCTGTGCATGTTTGTGGGTATAAGATGCCCGTGATCATACTGTGGCATGTTGCATCAAAAATGTCCTTATAAGCAACACTTGAATAGGCGTCTGTGGCCAATCAAACGAATGTGCACAATGTCATGCTTTTGGTGGGGGGAGAGGGGGGAGGGGGGAGGGGGGAGAAGTCCGTAAAGCAAAAGAATGCTAGGGAAAAAGGTGGAAATGCCGGAAAGCCAGACCGCAGCAAGCAAAAAGGCAGCAGGGCAAAGGCGGGCATTGCTCAAGATGCGGTATCCCCGTAGTGATGCTTTGGATCATGAACCCTTTGACCCTTGTTGAAAGTGGACGGCCCAGAAACAACGCCACAAGTGGAAGACGGCAGCAAGGCAACGGCTTAGCGAAGCACCACGCAACGCTACCGAGGCTGCGCAATTGCACAGTGTCAAAACTAGTTGTATGGAGTGACAGTGCAACTGGACGCGCAGCAAGGCAACAACACAGCAAAGCACAGAGCAACGCCGCAAAAGCGACCAAAGTACGTGGCACCCAAGCAAAAAATGCACAGGAAGACAAGGCACACAGATGGGCAACAAGGCTGCAATGCAGCGGGGCACAAAGCAACGCTACTGTCAAGGCAACCAAACTGCACGGCAACGGACAAGCTGCAAAGAACAAGCCGGGAAGCAAGCGAGATAGACAGCAAGGCAGCAGCGGAGCGCAGACAAAAAGTGCACACATCCAAGATGGAGCAAAGCAGTACGTACCTACTCACACAGCAAATGATCCCCACGGACTGTTGGTTCCCAACACCTGCTGATGCCAAGAAGCCATGCCAACAAAGGTCCATCATCACCCCCACTGACCCCCTAGTAGTGCAATAGGTACTCCAAACAAGGAAGCACCTACTATTTGGCTGAGCCTCGTGTAGCTGCAACATTCATGTGAGGGACACCGGGCCTGTTTCCCGTCTATAATTTAAATTTTAAAGTTGGGTTAAAAAAAAAAAAAAAAAAACTTACACATGTACCTGGGTTGTGGCTCAAAGGTACACACATCACATGCGACTGTCGATAAACAGCTCACGCGTTCAAATTCTGCTTAGAAACGTAGACAGAGTGGTTGGTGACCAGACCTCATTTGCCACAAGTTCCACTTTTCTCCCTTTTTAAGTAAACGGAAGGAAGGTATTTGTCCATTTTTCTTTTTCTTTTTTGCTTTTTCAAATAACAGTAAAGAAGGTGTTATACGATGCCATTATTATATGCCTGAAGCATCCGTATGCTCAAACAGTAGTGAAGGAGAAGGGTGGGGGAGGAACGGAGGAAAAGAAAGAGTCAAAATCTCATCCAATGGCATAACTCAGTTGATACACCCCTAAACTTTTTAATTTGAAATACAGGGCCTGAGTTTGAACTCCACCCACATGAACAGAGTAGAGACTAATTCCAAATTAGTAAATCACCGTGGGGCCGACCAGCTCAATGATGATATCCTCCAAGAAACGGGCGTCCCCTTTGCGCTAACAACGAACTCACCCTCGCTCATCTGGGCCAAAAAAGGTATCTACACGGTTGGGGACCTGTGGGACCCAGTGAGAGGGGAATGGGCAACCTTTCACCAGTTGCAAGAGAAGCTCAATATGTAAGAAACGTGGAAGATAAGGCTGGCCAGCTGAGAGAGGCTCTCCCCCTGGCTTGGCAGCGCACACTCAAGAAAGGGCACACTGTCCTGTAAGATGACTGGGTAGTTAAATTCCCTGATCTGCCCCTCCCCCTGACCATCTATAGGGTCAAGGCCAGGGAAAACAACAGTGGGCCATGTGAACTGGAAGCATATCAACCCGAATCACCCACAGCCAGACTATCAAAGCTAACAAGGAAGGAGGACCTGGATACAGCATATGAGTGGGCAGGGCTGACGCAGGTCAGAGTGGTGGGGGACCCCGAGAATGGTTTCTATGTATACGAAAGCACCACACCGGTGGCTAAGCTCCCATTTGACCTGGCTGAATGGGAATGGCCAGGATCTCAACCTATGCACACATGGGATTATACAGTCAAAAGGGGGTACAGGGCGTCTCGCGCGGACCAACAGATCAACCACATAATAGCAAACAGATAGGCACGGGAGTCGCCACTGGAGCCGAAGCTTTCAAAATCCTTTACCTGATCCAAAATTTGAGAAAATTATGCCCACGAATCACAAGTCTCTTCAATGGCAGATCCTCCACCGCTGCCTCCCTAGCCCAGACTGGCTTGTGTCGATAACCGACCTTGAACAGAAAGGAAAGTTGTCACCCATCCGTGCCTATTGTGGCAGATCCCAACAGCCAGCCCCTGCAACCCTTGAACACTGCCTGCTGGCACGTCCTATGGTTACTCAGTTATGGCAATGGTGGAACGCGACCTTCCACTCCCTTGCTGGACACCATATTCCGTGGGATCTTCGGCTCCTATTACTGGGAGAACAGCGACAACTGCTAGCCCATTGGTCCCCCTTTTCCTACACAAGGCTGCACCTCTTCATGCTTGCCTGGAGAGCACAATATGGCAGGACCCGAAAGGATTGTTTTCGGTCCTGGACACTGATCTGAACATAGTATGGAAACCATGGAGGTCTACGGAACCTATCTGGCAAAGGAAATCATTCGCTGATTTCCATGTCCCCTATCTTTAACCTAACTTTGTCCTCCTCCTAAGCCAACTACCACACCCCTCGCCACTGTCATATCCCCTGCCACACCTGGTGCAACCAGCCCAGTCACCACTGCCCCTCCAACCCCCAGCTGCCCTGGCGCCACTGCCACTTCCCCTCGTCCATGCTCCCCCCCCTCATGCTACTCCACCGCCACCAGCCCACCGCCCCCCGTTCAATTCCTCCTGACTGCTCAACAAGCTGCCAACAACACGAGGGACAATTGAAGGCTTGAACTGACAGACAACGACAACAATAGTAATGGTACCAATGGCTGGGGCAACAGCCGTCTTCTCACTACAGAATGCTCTGCAGCTGGAAACCTGGAACGATGAAGACCGACGCATCTAAGGGAGCAGGGCCTCAAACCATCAGTGCAGGCCAAGGAAGGGATACTGTCGATCCTCAAGCTTCAAGGTTCACGAAAGGGTTTTGCATGGGTTTTGATAGGAGAAAAGGTTTTCAAGGGTTTTAAACCACCAGTACTTCCTAGAGCCGTGCCCGT